CTCTCTCTCTCTCTCTCTCTCTCTCTCACACACACACACACACACACACACACACACTCCAACATATCCCTCACGCTGTTTCAATTTACTCAAGCACCACCTGAGCTGGGCTACCACGACAACCTAGGAATTGAAGAAAATCCCCCCCAATGTCACCTCATTGGCTCCGAAGGCGGCGTGAAAACAATCATGAAAACTGAAGATTAGGAAGGAGAGCGTTAAGGGTTTATATAGAACCAGTCTTGAAAACGCTGCTATCTCCACGCAGAGATGAAGAGCCGCGTGCTTCATGTAATGACAGGCGGGTGGAAGGAAGTTTACGGCCGCCGCCGCCGCCGCCGCCGCCACCGCCCTGACAGCATCAGCTCTTCAAGTCTCCCTGGAGGAAGACTTGAAGAGCTGATGAAGAGCTGATCCAGGACCAGTGTCTTTTTTTTTTTTTCTCACTGGGATCAGTTCTGGGTGTGGAGGAAGGTGTTGGGTTTGATCTTTTATTTAATCTAACACTTCGTCCTGGGGATAAAAGTCAGTAGAAATGAGGGGAGGAGGTATGAATAAATGATGAGTTTGATATCACATGTTTCTACACAATCAGATAAAAACGGCAGAGAATCAGAAAAGAAGAAGAAACAACCGAGAAGAAACGATAAAAATGGACAGAGAATCGAAGATTCAACAGAAGGAAATATGGAAATGAAATCCAACACTTTCCAAAGCAGTTCCTCTCACTTGTTCTTTATCCATCATTCATCCAACCAGCTGCCCACTCATCCATCCATCCATCCATCCATCCATCCATCCAACATTAGCATAGAAAACTGAAAACTGCTACAGTACAAACATCTACATCTGGGTTTTTTTTCTTTCCATTTTCCTCTGATAATAAATCACTTCCATCTCTGTTAACATGTTATAACACATTTTGTCCACAGTATTGCGCTAACGTTTCCGTCAGGTGTATTAATTACTACACGTCACACCGACAGAAGGTCTCACACCTGAACTGATTTCGGGTTTTTAAACTGGTTACAAACGCAAAAATATATCATCACGACAACAAAAACTAACCTTGTGCCTCTTCTGGGAGTTGCTAATATTTTAAACATTTCGTTTAACTCTTTCTGACTCTGCCGTCAGTCATTTTTTCTACCACAAACCTAAAAAAAAAAAAAATGCACCGGAGCCCTTTCAAAATAAAAGTCCTTAGAGATACTGAAAGCTTAAAATCGGAATCAAAACAAAACAAAGACAACTGCGATTCTTTTCTATGGCTTAAACAGAAATATTGTTATTTACGTCTTCTTTTATGTAGCGTTTTTTTTTTTATGTTCAATTGTTTGGAGGTAAGGATAGAAAACTATGAGCTGATTCTCAACAACAGTAAATGTGATTCTACGACCCTGTTCAGATTCATCCATTTTGTTTCTAAATGTGGAAAAAAAAACGTATGATTTAATTTTATTTTCAACCCTGGAAGCCGTTACATGTGTAACTGAGCAGGTCATGGCAGAACTCTACTGCACTGCATTGTTTCCCAAAGACTGGGGCGTGACCCTCAGGTGGGTCGCAAGTAATTTTTTTTTTTTTTTTTTGGTTTGTCTCGTATCACGTTTCCCAGGAGTTTATGAATAACGTCTGTTGACTTCGTGAGGGGTCGTGAAGGTTTGTGACTTTTAAAATATGGGTCTCCAGAAAAAAAAAAAAAATGTTTTGGGGGGAAAAACTCTGCTGTTGTTCTTACCTTTGGCACAGTCAGGACCCAGGAAACCAGCGAAGCAGTGACAGTGTCCGGCCACACACTCTCCGTTTCCGTTACAGTCTGTGGAGCAACCGTCCATCGAGTCTGTGACCACACACACACACAGAAACACACACAGACACACACAGGACGAGAAATTAGACCCAAACAAACCAAAATATTCCAGCTGTAACTCCATGAGCCGGGACGGCTGGACCTTATTGAATGAGAGATGTGATCAGAGCAGTGGACGACTCCCAGGACGTCTGGATTAGATTAGAACTTTGCTGTTGTTCTTACCTTTGGCACAGTCAGGACCCAGGAAACCAGCGAAGCAGCGACAGTGTCCGGCCACACACTCTCCGTTTCCGTTACAGTCTGTGGAGCAACCGTCCATCGAGTCTGTCACCACACACACACAGAAACACACACAGACACACACAGGACGAGAAATTAGACCCAAACAAACCAAAATATTCCAGCTGTAACTCCATGACCTACTGGACCTTATTGAATGAGAGATCTGATCAGAGCAGTGGACGACTCCCAGGACGTCTGGATTAGATTAGTCTGATCCAGCTGCTATCACTCTCTGGGGGGAGGCCAAGCACTCACTTACACTCAGCAGCACTGAGCACATTATACTGCATCATACTGCACTACAGGCTGGAAACACACGGCACGAACGTCAGATCTTAATAAACAAACCCTTTACAAGCGTGTGTGTGTGTGCGTGCGCTCGGGAACTAAATTGAAAAGGTGTAAATGTGACATCCTGAACGCACGAGTTAGCGTTGAGTGTCGGAGCAAAGTGAAGCCGACTTCATCAGAGATGCTTGATGTTGAGAGGTTGATGAGTTAGACACCGACCCCTCGTGGTGTTGAACTAATGAACTATAATGACCTCAGCCTCAGTTCTTAGCATGGGGGGGGG